CATATGTAATGCTGAATTTTGACTCTTCTTTGTTCGTACAAAAATAAGGTTTGTATTTCAAATCGAGATATGAGATGATCTATTTATATATGTATTTATTACATTATAAAATATGAAGTGTAGAAGTGGGGATATTAACCCAGTTAAATTAAGAGATTTGTTCTTCTTTTTAAATTTAATTTTAATATATTTTTTTATTCTTGAATAAAATTTAGTTCTGGCGCCATGCTAGGAGTGTATAGAATACGATACAACAAAAAATTAAAATCATTTTTTTGAAATTCGCTGAAATAACGGTTGTTCCTCACAGTGGTATTACCATTATTGGTACTCATATTAAAGAACGGTGGTGCAAACGAGTTAAATAAAGTAATTTGTTTATTTTAAAGCATGTGTCAAATTAAAATAGTAGTACATACATTTTATGTGCATCGCTGTATAAATGTACAATTAGATGCAACCTTGTAATTTCAAATAGAGTATCAGTTGAACCATGGCGCAATAAATAGCGCAGACATTTAGCTTAGTTCACGATTTGATTAACTGTCAAAGTGTGGTGTGTCTACTTGAACCTTTGTTTTTGTCTCGATCATCTGTCAAATTTGTCCTTATAATATTTCACATGGTTGGCAATACTGCACATCGAATTCAAGTAGAAATTACGCACTTTGACAGGTAATCAAGACATCAGCTGCTATAAATGGACTACCTATTCATTGTGCCATGGTCGGGACCATAATGCAATAATAAGGCGATGTTTTAAAACATTAACCTTTGTTTTTGTCTCGACCATCTGTCAAATGTTTCCTTATAATATTTCACATGGTTGGCAACATTGCACATCGAATTCATGTAGAAATTAGGCACTTAGACTGTTAATAGAGTCATCACGTCCTAGTATATATTTCTAACTACTGTATTTTCAAGATTTTCTATTGTTTTTGTAATTAAAAAAATATTCTGTCTCAAACTCAAACTTTCATCTGAATTCTTTCATTGACAATAAATCATTTTTATTTCAATATTGTTTTGATAGTTTAATTGCTTCATATATGCATATTAACCATATGGTTCAATTTTATTAGTTTTTTTTTTTTATTATTATTAAAATATATATAAATATGTATGTATATCTGTATGTATTTCTTAATTAATGTTTTTATGATTGCCGCTAACATTCGGATTCGTGTCATTAACACATTCTTTGACAAATCCCAATGTCATCATCTCAAATTAAACTTATATATATATATATATATAGAAAATATCATCTGTTTCACCTTTACGGCCAGTCAGTCAAGCAGTCACCTATCATAAATGAAAAACAGTGTCATTTTTGTATTTTTTATTATCACTTTTATTTGTCATATTTCATTTTAATAAGAAATTAAAGAAAAAACAAACAAAAAATAGCTGAAGCACCCGGCACCCGGATTGCCATGCGTCACTTTTAATTCACAAAGAATTTCAGATTGTCTTCTTTTTATAAAAAAAATGTTTAGTTTTTTTGTGTGTTCTTTTTATACAAAAAAATACAATGTTTTGATTTGTTAACATGTTTGTGTGAATTGTGATTAGCGTGATTAAAAATAGTTGGGACAGTGAATATTTTTAGGCAGCAATTTTGAAAGAAACATATGTAGGTTGTCTGTCTAATGATGTAGATACATATATTTTCTAATTTTACATATATATATATATATATATATATTATATAATATTCACAGAAAATACAACTATGTATACATACATATTTGAAATTTAAAATAATATAAAATGGAATATTTCGATATTTTTTGCAACACAAAAAAATCTAAAAAAAAGAAAATTTTTTGTAGACTTGTGTATGGGGATTATGAAAATCTATAAATACATATTTATGTGGCAATATATGTTTGTATTGGCAAAGGTAAGAAAAAATGGGTGGGGGTACAAAAAAAAAACACATAGACAAGAAAACCTACACAGGCACGTGTACACACACACTCACTCATACACTCTTGGCTAATGTTTCAAAAGTGTCCCATTTTAAGTGCGTTCGACTTGTAGGTTTTTTGGCATGATTTCCATTTTTTGTTGTTGTTAGAAAAATGTTTTCTATTTTTTGTTGTTATTTAAAAAAACACTAATTTATTTTGACAATTTGCTATGTTTATGAGTGTTTTCAGTCAATTATGGGACAAAATATTTATGCCAACAATTTGTGTAGGGTTGAATTGTACATTAAATTGGGCCAATACGAATTTTCTATTTTAAATATTTTGCTTATATTTTATTGTTGTAATCAAAACTAAATACCTTATTTATGACGCACTCTCATTCATCTATTCGTCGTTGTAATCTGTGTAATTTGTCTAGCAGAAAATTGAGGTGTTTCAAAATCATATTCTAACAAAATAAAAAAAGATATTCATAATGCCATTGTCAAATTGGAAACGTTGAAAACATTCTTTACAAGGTTACATTTGACACATGTTTTTGTTGTTGTTATTTTTGTCGTTGATGTGACACATATACCCCTCTTTTTTAGGCAAAGAACTAATCATGGCCAAGTTTTTGTTGTTGTTATTTTTCTTTTTTTTTTCTTTTTTGTTAATTTGTATTATTTTCCAAGGCCGATGCTTAATCATTAGCCCTTGTGCTGATTGATCAATGTTAGAACAAAGTATGGTTGTATGCACCCAAGTGTCTTGAGGAACAGAAACAGACACTCAGGTTGGAAAATTGGGCAAGAATTTTGAACATACCAAAAATTTCTCGTAACGGTCTCAAAATACACAGACATGGACTGGTACCATACAGAAGTATGGTTGTATGCACCAAAGTGTCTTGTGGAAATTTATTTGAACTTGCACTCAGGTCGGAAAATTGGCCAAAAGTCTTGAATATACCAAAACTGACCCACAACGGGCTCAAAATACACAAACATGGACTACTGGCATTGACCATTCTTGGTAGAAAGATGACTAGAAATTCGATTGAAAAACTTTCCAAAATACCGGGGCTACCTTAAAAATGGGACCAATATAGCAATTTTTTGTACAAAGATTCGGTACCCAATCCAAAGTACTAAATAACACCCAGTTTGAAAACATTTCCAAAATCCCTAAAATTCTGAATAATGGGGGTACGGCTATATGGAGGCTACACTTTCTTCAACAACGTTTCCAAAATCGCTAAAACGTTGATATTATTTTGTAAGAAGATTTATTACCCAAAAACATTCAAAGCACTTAACAACTGCCAGTTCGGTTGAAAAACATTTCCAATATCTCCAAAATTCCGAATATTCGTAGGTATCACGATATGATAAGAGGATAAGAGAATATAAGAAAACGAGGATCGAAATTGATCACCGATATACCCATTGCGCACCCAAAAATACCAAATTTAAGCCAATTCGGATTCGTTATGTTGGGTTTACTCTAAAACTTGGGTCAATATTGAGAATTTTTCGTAGGGAGACCTTCTACCCAATTAGAATCCAAAATAAAAAATACAACCCATTTTGTCCACCAAGACACTCCCCAAAATTCCGAAAATTTGGGAGCTTCCTTTATATGGAGGGCTACCTAACTAAAAAGTGGACCAATGTGGATACTTTTTAGTAGGAGGAGGCTATAACAAAACAATCATGGATATTGATCATCGATATTGTCATTCTTGGTAGAAAGATTTGACACCAATTGCGCACCCAAAAATACCAAATTTAAGCCAGTTCGTAACGAAGGGTTCACTCTGAAACTTGGTTCAATTTTTTCTCCAGCTAAACTTGTTCAAAATCCCCAAAAAGTACCGAAAATTTAGGAGTTAACTTTATATTGAGGGATGCCTACCTATGGAGGTGTATCTAACCAAAAAGTGGACCAATATGGATACTTTTTAGTAGGAGCAGGCTATAACAAAACGAGGATAAATATTGATCATCGATATTTTCATTTTTGGTAGAAAGATTTGCCACCCAAAAATACCAAATTTAAGGCAGTTCCGGTTCGTTACGTTGGGTTTACTCTGAATCTTGGATCAATATTGAGAATTTTTCGTAAGGAGAAATAAAAACAAAAAATACAACCCATTTTGTCCAGCAAGACTTGTCAAAACTCCCCAAAATACCGAAAATTTGGGAGTTACCTTTATATGGAGGGCTACCTAACTAAAAAGTAGGCCAACATGGATACTTTAAAGTAGGAAATTTTGATATTCAAATTACAGCCAATTTGGTAGAAAGATCCAAATATACCGTTATATGGCGGCTATACCAAAATGTGGTCCGTCATATCTCATTTCCAATATCAAACCTCCTAGGAGTAAAAAAACGACGTGCAAAATACCAAAGGATTATGGTTAAATCGACATAGAATTTTATGTTGATCTAAAATATTGAAACTTTTTGGGGTTTCCGGCGAATTTCTCGAGATGAAGTTCGAAGGGTGCATTGTCGGCACATTCATTTATAATCTTCCATCATACACAGATAGACTTTCCGTCATCAAGCTGCCAACTATAAAAAGCCGAAGGAAAATGTTTAATGTAGCATTTCTTTTTATTGTAATTGTGGATGGCGGATTTCTAATGAACAATATTTGCTTTAATGTTCCCAAAAAAGCTATTCGCAATTATATAACACTAGGTATTCAATTCCGATACTTCAATTATTATTATTTATATATTTATTAATTATTTGAAAATTGGCTACTATTTAGTATTTCTGGTTTCCAGTAGTCATTATTTTTTTAGAAACTATTGTCTTTTTAACCATTCATTTTAGTAGTCCTTAGAGTTAAATTTAATAAATACCAATCCAAGGTCTTACAAGTAAGTATCATAATTCTTGCCTGCAACCTTTGTAAATATTTTAAGTGCATGACCAACTACTAACAGCTAATCCACACACATGGGGTCAACATTTTCCAAAACTTTAGATTTATTTAAGGAACTTCAACGTGACACTCACAATCCTCGACAAACCTCTATAACCTTCCATTCCTATTTCATTACAGAACGTCGCATCTCGGCCTTTCAGTTAGCTAGAATTGATTCCGCCGACGATGATGCCTCCTCCTCGGGACGCGAGGACAGTTCACCCGAATCACCCTACTCAGCATCACAACAACCACCACAATTCGGTCCATATCTCAACGTTAATGGTCACGGTCCAGTTCAACATCAGGGACGTTCACGTACCAAATCGAAGAAACCACGCAGTAAATCCCTTCAACCACAATCCAATATCGTACCATGGCGTAAAGCTTCTCGTCCCAGTCGTGGTCGTTCGCTTGACAAATCACCCTTCTTGCCCGGCTGCAAACCAGCACCTGTCAAATCCTGGACTGAAGAAACTATCAATTTGAAACCGGCACCCATCGAAAAGAAGGTCATTCCCAAGATGGAGGCTGCAAAGGTTGCTCTGAAATCCATTAAGAGTCAACGTGATCAGGGTCTGATGAGCCTCGGCGCCACTCTGGAGAAAATTATCGAAGGTAAGACTGAAAAAGAAGCCATTCCATGGATTACAATGCGCGATAAGTTGCGTCAAGTCGAAACGGTACAAAAAGAATTGGAGAAATTCGATTTAGATGAAGTTTATCTTCGTGATCTGGAAATGCCCATCACAAATGATCTCGAACAGCCACAACAGGCCGTCACACAGGAACAGGTTCAGCGTGATCGTGAAATTCTACGTCTGAAGAGCATGGAAAGCTTTGAGATCAACGAAGTAACCGAACAAATAGAAAAACTGTTGGAAAAACAAAAACCCAAAAAGGGCGAAGACATTCCATGGCAGGAGATGCGTAAGTATCTCAAGAAGGTACAGCGGGAACACAAACAAATTGAAAAGTTCAAAATCGAAGAGGTCGAACTGCATCATCTAACGGCAGAGGAACTTCTGACCCATACTGCTCAAAATGCCACCCAAGAACAAAGTTCTACTTGGCTGGAAGAGACCTCTAAGGCAGCCATGCAGAGGTATTTGCATACCGAAGATGTCCAGAAGTTCGTTGAGGTGGAGGATGTACAGAGACAACAGTACATCACCACTGAGGACATTAATATTTTGAGCGTGGAGGAACGCGAAAAATTGGAGAGACAACGTTTGTTGCGCGAGGAACAGGCCTTGAACTGGCGCAATGCCCAAACCAGGCCAAAGGTAGAGTCCATGACTTCGGTCGAGGAAACCATCAAGAACCAGGTGGATGAGCGTACCCGTATGCAGATCCAACATCAAGTCTCCGAAGATCTGACACAACAACAACAGTTCGTCAGCGTTGAGGATTCGAAATTGATGAGGATCGAAGAACACGAACACTTGCGCCAAACTCGTCTCACCAAGGAGGAGCAAAGCTTGCACTGGCGTCAACCCAGACAGCCCCAACAATTCGTTCAAGTTGAGGACACCCAAATTCTCAATTTGCAAGAACGCCAAGACACCGAAGAGCATAAACTGATTCAACCGGAGCCGGTAATGTGGGAACGTGGAAAGAAGAAGCCACAACAACTACAACAACCTCAACAACTTCAACAACCTGAGCCTGTTGAAAGAACCTATGAAGAGGTCCACGATGAATTGGTTGAAGAAAAACCACAACCAAAACCGGAAGAACTGACCCCGGTTATGTGGGAACGCGGAAAGAAGAAAACCCTTGTGCAACAACAACAAATTGTGGAAATGCAACAAACACAACAGCAAATAAGCGAAGAGACAACACAGGTTGTCGAAGAAACAAAACAGGTAACCAAGAAGCGTGTAATTCCCGCACCACAGCAAGTGGAGAAAATGGAACAGGTTATGTTGAAGCCAACACCAAGGCCAAAACCCAAGCCCGTTCAAAAAGAAGAACTGCAGCTTAAGCCATTGAAACGCACCCAAGCAAAACCACAACAAGTTGAGACCGAACAACCTTCCCAAGCCTATGAAGAGGCATTTGACGAACTACCCGAAGAGGAGAAACCTCAGCCAATTGTCGAACAACCTCAACCTGTTATGTGGGAAAGAGGTAAGAAGAAGCAGCCCACAAAGGTAGAGGAACAACTCATCGAAGAACAGCCTCAAAAGAGCTATGAAGAAGCTGTGGATGAACTTCCTGAGGAACCTCAGACCGCACAACCCGAACAGCTGCAACCGGTTATGTGGGAACGTGGAAAGAAAAAAGCCCAAAAGGTTGTGCCACAACAACCTGTGGAGGAAGTACCCACTCAGGCCTATGAGGAAACTGTTGATGGTCTGATCGAAGAAGAGAAACCACAAGTCGCCGAGGAAGTTCTCCAGCCAGTAATGTGGGAACGTGGTCAAAAGAAAAAGCAACAAGAAATTACGCAGATTACCCAGGAGGTTGCTGAAGAGAAGGTATTGGAAGAGACCACTGTTGAAGAAGTTAAGAAGAAGGTCGTTTCCAAGGTCGCTGTTCAAGAACAGAAGGTAGAAAAATTGGAACAGATACAACTCAAGCCAACTCCCAGACCCAAGCCCAAGGAGCAGCCCAAGAAGGAAGAAATTCAACTTAAACCTGTTAGGCGAACACAACCAACTAAATCTGAAGAAGTTGAAGAAGTACAGCCCACAAAGGCCTATGAGGAGGCTATCGAAGAATTGCCAGAAGAACCACAACCATTGCCTGAAGAAGCTCCACAACCCGTCATGTGGGAACGTGGCAAAAAGGCCAAGAAACAAGAAGTGACACAAATAGTCGAAGAAAAGGTAATCGAGGAAGCTGTGGTAGAGGAAGTAAAGAAAAAGAAGAAGACCAAGGTGGTCAAACCTGTGAAGACCGAAGAAGAAGTTGAAGAACAACCCGAGAAAGCCTATGAAGAAGCTGTTGATGAACTACCCGAAGAACCTAAACAAGAAGAAGCTCCACAGCCTGTGATGTGGGAACGTGGCAATAAGAAGAAGCAAGAAACGGTCGCTCCTGTCGAAGTAACTGAAGTCACAGAAGAGGAGAAGGTTGTTGAAGAAACTAAGGTCGAAGAAGTAAAGAGGAAGAAGTCCGTACCCATGGTAATTCAGAAGGAAGAGAAAATAGAGCAGGTGCAGTTGAAACCAACTCCCAGACCTAAACCCAAGGAACAACCCAAAAAGGAAGAGATTCAACTTAAACCGGTTAAACGCACGAAACCCGTTACAACCGAAGAAATCCAGGAACAACCGGAGACTGCCTACGAAGAAGCTGTCGATGAGTTGCCCGAAGAACCCAAACCGGATCAACCGGAAGAATTGAAACCGGTTGCCTGGGAACGAGGCAAGAAACAAAAGAAGAAGCCCAAACAAGTCAAGGAAGAAAAGGTTGTGGAACAACCCGAAGAGGCATATGAAGAAACCATCGATGAGTTGCCTGAAGAACCACAACCTCAACCCGAGCCAGAGGAATTGAAACCTGTAGCCTGGGAGAGAGGTAAAAAGAAGAAACCACAGAAACCGAAGACGCCAGAAGTCAAGGACGAAGTCGAACAAGTGGTTGAAGAAGTCAGTGATGTGCTTCCCGAAGAACCTCAGGTTGAGGAGATACAGCCACAACCTGTTATGTGGGAAAGAGGCAAGAAGAAACCCAAGAAGCCTATAGTAGAACAACCACAACCTGAGGAGCCAAAGGTGGAAGAAGTAGTCGAAGAAGAAACACAGGTTGCCGAAGTAGAGGAAGAAGAGGTTAAGGTTGAACAGAAAACGAAAATCGTTAAAAAGAAGAAGCCTAAGAAACCTGTTGAAGAACAACCTCAACCAGAAGAGCCGGAGGTTGAAGAAGTCGAAGAAGAAGAAACCAAAATTGTCGAGGAAGAAGAACAAGATGTTCAGGTTGAAGAAACCACCAAGACTGTTAAAAAGAAGAAGGTTAAGAAGCCAAAGGCTAAGAAAGAAATCACCGAGGAGACTGAAGTTCCTGAAGACATTCCACAGCCGGAAGAGGAAGAAGAAATTGAAGAAGTGGTCGAAGAGGTTGTCGAAAAACCACAAGAGCCCAAACGTGTTAAGAAAATACTACCCCAAGAACCTGAAAAGCCGGAACAAGTTCAGCTTAAACCTGTGCAAAGAAAACAACTACCCAAACCACAAGAAGAAAAATTGGAAGAAGTCAAACTTAAACCTGCCAGAAAATCAATTGTCGACACCACTACTCCACAGCCCGAAGAAGTGGAAGTTTACGAACAACCTGAGGAGCAAGAAACCACCGTGGTCGAGGAGCATGAAGAGGTCACCAAGAAACGTGTCAAGAAGAAGAAACCAAAGAAGAAGGTTGCCAAGCCGGAACAGGAGGAAGAAACTGTCGAGGAGGAAGAACAACCTCAAGAGGAAGAAGAACAGGAGGAGGAAGAAGAAATTCCTGAAGAACCAATCGAAGATGTTGTTGTGCCAGAAGAAGTCAAACCTCAACCTCAGGTTGTGGCCAAACCTGTACCCCAACAAGTCGAAGAGAAATTGGAAGAGGTTAAACTCAAGCCCGTTAGAAGGCCCATCAAACAACTGCCCCAAGAAGAAGCCATCGAGGAGATACGTTTGAAGCCAGCCAAACGTTTGACACCAAAGCCCGAAGAACAGAAACTAGAAGAGGTTGAGTTACAACATGTCGAACGATTCGAAGAACAAGTTATGGTCGAGGAGAAGAAGAAGGTGAAGAGGGTCAAGAAACCCAAACATGAAGAACTTCCTGAAATACCCGATGCTGAACCGGTAGAATTGGAACAAGCTGAGCACTTTGAATTGGAAAAAGAACCCAAGGTTGAAGAACCTCAACCTCAAGTACCCTGGAAGCGTGGTGAAAAGAAGGTACCCGTTGAACAACCCATTGAAGAGAAGCAATGGCCAAAGGGTAAGAGACGCCCACTTCCAGAAGAGAAACCTGAGGAAGTTACTCTGAAGCCCATACCTTCTAAGCCCAAAGAAGAACCACAAAAGCCCGCCAAGACTGTGCCAGCTCCCGAATTTGTTCCCGAAGAAAAGCAACCTTCGGAGGAGAAGGAATTGGAAATTGAACCTGTTCCTGTTGTAGACGAAGTCGAGGAGGTCGACAAACCTATTAAGGAAAAGCCCAAGAAGAAAAAGAAGCCCAAGCTGCAAAAGGCAACTCCATCTGTGGACGAGGTTTCGGAAGAAATTGCCGAACCATTTGCCGAGCCCATTGCTGAGGAAGATCAAGTTGAGGAGGTACCCATCGACGAGGTGAAGGAAGTGGCCGTATCTGAAGAAATTCTGCCCGAAGAGGAAGTTGTACCCACCGAAGAGGTACCCGGAGAGAAGCCTTCAGTGCACAAGGCCCACAAGAAACGCACAAAACGTCTTAAGGAAGTTTCCTTCGAGGAACAACCCACCTTGTTGCAGGCCACTGTCATCGACACCGCCGAAGAAGAAATTGTCCACGAGGAAGAAACCTCCCAGGAGATCTCACAAAAGACAATAATGCTCAATAAGAAGGCTGAAGAACCTCTGCCCAAGTTCATTACCACAGAACAGTTAATAGAAGTGGACGTTGATGAGGTCAAGCGCAATGTCGAAATGAAGACAACCTCGAACATTGTTAAGAAGGAGAAACGTCGTATTGTATTGGATGACAGCCAACCTTTGCCTGAACTTGAACTCATTACCCAGAAACGAGTTCAGGAAGGTCTGGATAAGGTGGCCGACGAAGAGGTGATCGAGGATCAACAATTGACCCAAAACGACGAAGAGATCATTACTTCGGAGGTGATGGGTGAACGCCGAATTGTCAAGAAGAAAAAGAAGACTGTCAAGCCGCCACGCATTACTGAGAAGCTTAGACCACGCATGGTGGTGCCCGAAGAACCAACAATCTTGGAGTGTAAGGTCGAGGGCATTCCCTTCCCCGAAATCAAGTGGTACTTCAACGATATCCTTTTGTTTGCCTGCGAGAAATACGAACTCAATGTGGTGGAGGACGTGGCCCAGCTCAAAATCGCCAAGGTTACTCCCAGTGATGTGGGAATATACACTTGCGAAGCTAAGAATGAGGCTGGAGTGGCCATAACCCGCACCAATGTTGCATTAGGTAAGTACAAATCGAGATAACGGTATTCACCCAGAGTTCCATGGTAAAGTAGCATTCGACTTCATGTTATTTAGTTTTGAGAAAACCCCCGTAGGTTTCTTGTTTTTTTCGTTCATTTCATTCAAAATATTCATTACGAACTCTTCTTATTCCATTTCATTTCTCTAATCGATTTTCACTTCACACTTTGGTACTATCCACAACAACAACAACTACAATTTAGAAAAAGAACAAGGCATAGCTCCACAATTCACAAAACCATTGAAAATTGAGTTCACCGAAGAGTCACCGGATCGCCTTAAGGTCAAGGTTACATGTCAGGTAATCGGCAAGCCACAGCCTGAAGTCAAATGGTATCGCGGCGTGGAAGAGATTGTGCCCAGTGAAACGGTACAGATGTTCTACAACGAGCAGACTGGTGATGTGGCTTTGGAGGTAATGAATCCTCCGCCCAATGAGGCTGTTGTATATTCGGTACAAGCCATGAATCCCTTCGGTCGTGCCGTGGGCAATGCCAATATCTTGAGCAAGGTGGACGAATTGGATAAGCCCAAGGAGTTGTTGAAGGCACCCAAGATTACACCAATAACTGCCAAGGTTGTACCACATGGCGGTACTCTGTTGTACGAGGCGAAATATGAAGGCACGCCACGACCACAAATCAAGTGGTTCCGCAATGGCCGCATAATCGAAGAGAACGAAGATGTTACCATCGAAACCACGGAGACGACAACCATTATTAAGATTGTCAATATGTCGCGTAAGCGTGCGGGTAAATATGAAGTATCCGCCACAAATGAAGTGGGCGAGGCCAAGACATCAGGCTCCGTTGTGGTATCGGATCAAGCACCAGATAAAAACATCAGACCACCAAAGTTCATACAACCACTGGAACCCAAGTTCTTTGCTGAAAATGAGGTTGTCATAATGGAGGCTGTGGTCGATTCCGAACCACTATCTTCGTTCCAATGGTTCATCAACAACGAAGCTGTTGTCAGTTCGAATGAGGTGCGCATTGTCTCCAAGGAGAACAAGACGACACTCTTGATCGAACAGTTCAAGCCGAAATTCAAGGGCCCCTATACATGTCGAGCCGAGAATGTTGGTGGTTCGGTAACCTCGACGGCCAGCGTCAAAATGTTGGAGGAGGCACCTCACGAAGAGGTCGAAGAATTCGAATCACCTCGCTTTGTTGAGGAACTCATTGAGCCCGTGGAGGTAATGGACGGCGAACGTTTACTGCTCACCTGCAAGGTGGTGGGTAAGCCCACGCCACGCGTTGCTTGGTATCAAAATGGCGAAAAGGTGGTGGAGAACAAAGAGACACACATATCGCAAGACGCCCAAGGTGTATGTCAATTGGAAATTATCGAGGTATTCCCGGAAAATCAAGGCGTATACAAATGTGTAGCCACAAATAAGATTGGCGAATCCGTAACCAAGACAACCGTTAGCATTCAAGGTACATTTTATACTCTGGACACGCATACATACGCACACGCATCCACACTTAAATACACTGATAATAAAGCCAGCTGTTTTGTGTTTTATTTACACTCAGAAAAAATAAAACAAATCCAAACACAACATAAATCTCTAAACTTATTAAAAACAAAAATACCCAAAAAAAACTCTTAACAATCATTAGGAAATCTTTGAATGCTCTAAACACACACAAATATCCTCTGTCTTTGGTTATGTTTTTTTTTTATAATTATTCTTACTAATACACTCTCAGTGAAAAGGAAGTAGTAAAGTTTAGCAAATTCTCACAGCTAGCTTGTGATTTGTACAACTTTATTTTGTTTCAAAAATCTCGTATTTTGTCTAATTGTTATCCTCCCTCTCTCTCTATCTATTTCTCTAATCCATGTCCACGTCCAAGGATTTCTTTTGTTTCCTAAACCCTATGTACAGCATGTTTTATTTTGTTATTTTATTTTTTCATATTTCACTTTTTTCATTCATTCGTCATCATACGTTTCTATAAGTGTATTTTTTCATCTTTTAATATTTATGTTTTAAATATTATATTTAATTTGTTTTCTTCTTCTTTTTCCGTTCTCTACTTTGTTTTTTTTTCATATTTATAGCATTTGAATATATCCCCGATTCTGAAATGACTGGCTCTGAAGATGATCTTCTCGATAGGGTAAGTAAATATAAGAATCTACGAAGAAATCATTTATATTTTATTAATGAGTATATTTTGAGGGCTTATATCAGCCCTATATAGATCTAACCTGAACACAAGTTTTGTAAAAAATTATTATTTAAAGTTCCTATCTTAATAAAGACCCGGAGTCTCTACTTTGACCAATTGGTCTTTATTAAGACCTGGGGTATCTGTATAGACCAACTGGTCTTTATAAAGACCTGGGGTCTCTGTATAGACCAATTGGTCTTTATAAAGACCTTAGATCTCTATATAGACCAATTGGTCTGTATAAAGACCTTTGGTCTCTATATAGACCAATTGGTCTGTATAAAGACCTTTGGTCTCTATATAGACCAATTGGTCTGTATAAAGACCTTTGGTCTCTATATAGACCAATTGGTCTGTATAAAGACCTTTGGTCTCTATATAGACCAATTGGTCTGTATAAAGACCTTTGGTCTCTATATAGACCAATTGGTCTGTATATAGACCTTTGGTCTCTATATAGACCAATTGGTCTGTATAAAGACCTTTGGTCTCTATATAGACCAATTGGTCTGTATAAAGACCAGCGGTCTCTATATAGACCAATTGGTCTGTATAGACCAATAGAGACCACAAGTCTTTATATAGACCAATTGGTCTGTATAAAGGCCTGTGGTCTCTATATAGACCAATTGGTCTGTATAAAGACCTGTGGTCACTATATAGACCAATTGGTCTGTATGAAGACCTTAGGTCTCGACATAGACCAATTGGTCTGTGTAAAGACCTTTGGTCTCTATATAGACTAATTGGTATGTATAAAGACATTTGGTCTCTATATAGACCAATTGGTATGTATAAAGACATTTATTAGAGACTTTGGGTCTCTATATCAACTAATGTTTTATTTATTTTTTAATATTTATTTATCTTTATTTTTTTCCGAAATTTCCTTTGTTTTTCTCCAGTCTATCGATGAAGATAAACCACCGAAAATTATAAAGAAACTACCCGAAAAAATCGAACCCAAAGAGGGTGAATTAGCCAAGCTGGAAGTTAAAGTTGTTGGCAAGCCAAAGCCTAAAGTTAAATGGCTGCGGGACGACGAGGAGATATTCGCATCGGAAGAATATCAAATCGAAAATTTCGAAGATGGCACCTCAGTGCTGGTTATCAACAATATCTATCCCGATGATGTGGGCACAATTAGTTTTGAGGCTTACAATCCATTGGGTGTGGCTGTGACAACAGCATTAATATCGGTCGAAGGTATAAATGTGATATTTACAATATGTTTTACATTTGTATTATATTTATATTAAATTTTATATATGTTCTTTAATTTATTTTTTTTATATTATTTAAGTATATATAATTTTTTTAAATGATGCAATTTTTTACAGCATTCCATCAGCAGGGAATATTTTACCCTTCAGTATATCTCTTATCCTTTCCCGTGTATATAAAATCCCTTAAATCCCTATAGATTTTTTTTGAAAAATCACAAAACTTAACACACATTTTACTGACACTCTATATAAAAAACACATATATTTTTTACACTTTAATAATATTTTTTTTTCTTTTTGTAACTTTGAAAATATATATTTCTTTCAAATTACTAATCGATCTTTTCTATAATTTGCCATTTTTTTAAATAAAACACAGGCATCGTTGGATCCAAGGATTATCGCAAACCAGAATGGGTGACTCATATGGAAGAAATGCAAAGGGCTCTTAAAGGTAGGTTGAAAATTATTTAAATCAAATTTAGCCATTTCGGCTAAATGTATAAATGTGTGTTTGAAAAAACAATTACATGTTGAATATCCTTTGTGATAAATAATTGTTATCCCTATTTCTTTGTGTATATGTGTTTTAACGTGACTTTTTTGATACGAACTACAGTTTGTCTCACTGGTTTATATACTCTACTGTGCCTCTCTCTCTTACCCTCTCTCTCTCTCTCTCTTTATATATAAATATGTTTATATTTATATAATCTTGTTGTCTTTGTAATTTTCATTTCTTCGGACTATTCCTCTAAAAACACAACGTTTTTGTCCCCACTGTACAGCTATGTACTATATGGCCCCACCTATTGTTTTGTCATGTGACCTTGTATATGTGTGCATACCCCTACAACTACAATACACAAAGGTCTAAAGCTCTTGAGCTTAAACTATTCAGTTTTTTTTTTCTTTTTGATTCAAAATTAAGTGCAAATCTCCCTCCCCTCTCTCAAAAAATGAATTACTTGACAACTCCCTTAATTTACCCTTTCCCCCAAAATAAAAGTATACGCCATTTATTTTTTTAATTTTAAAAAATATTTTAACTAGTTTTATAATATTAAGCTGAACAATTTAGAAAAACAAAATTATGAAAAAATTAAAAAAAAAATAAAAATTACCCTGATTTACCACCCACAAAAATTATTTTAACAAAATCATTTCGAACCATTCACCAAGACCAATTTCATTCTAGATTATTTGATAATTCAAAATTTACTAACAGATCCATAAAAAAATATTATTGGTATTTCTAATGATAATGCCTTTTCCACATACCGCTAGTCTAACCTTAATGCTAATTAAAGGAGTTTTAGTACCTTTTATCCTCTGGCTTTGTAAATGTTTAATTCTTTTTTTTTAATTTTCTAAAATTCAATGTCAATATTTTAACACTGAAAACAGACAAACATATTTTCTTTACAAAGAAAAAAAACTTACAGTATTTAATAAAGTGGAATTATTTAAAATAATTGATTTTGTAATTTCAATGTCTTTTATAGACAGGAGATTATAAGCAGATATTGGAAAAATTGTTTATAAAACCCTGGGGTCTCTATATAATCCAATTGATCTTTATGAATACCTGAAGTCTCTATATAGAACAATTGGTCGTTATAAACCCTTGGTCTTGGTCTCTATATAGACTAGTTGGTATTTATAAAGACCTGGGGTCTCCATAAAGACCTATAAAGACCTGGGGTCTCTATATAGAGCAATTGGTCATTATAAAGACATGGTGTCTCTATATAGACCAATTGGTCTTTATAAAGACCAGGGGTCTCTACATTGACAAATTAGTCTTCAGAATGACCTGGCGTCTCTATATAGACCAATTGATCTTTCTAAAGACCTGTAGTCTCTATATAGACAAATAAAGACCTGTTGCCTACATATAGACCATTTTTATAAAGACCTGGGGTCTCTATATAGACCGATTGGTTATTAAGAAAGACCTAAAGTCTTAATAAAGTCCTGTGGTCTCTATATACACCAATTGGTCGTTGTAAAGAACTTTTACCACTATATAGACCAGTTAGAGTTATACCAATACCTACCACCCTTCATATTGGTGCGACATAACATCGTGTTTTTTAGAAATGGCCTTGTTGTTCTTAATCTACCATCGACGTTTTGTATATAGAAGACAAATTTAAAGTCGATCTCCAGATATATTATAAATAGAAGTCTCCATAGGTTTCCGAAATATTGAAAACTCTCTACATATCTTCCTATATAGAGAAGAGCCTTAACAGGTCTTCTATAAATAGAAGATCGTATACTTGATTTGCTAGAGATAAATGAACATCTACAGCTCACAACAGAGCCTTTACGTTAAAACTTCTACAGGTTTCTATATACAGAATACAATTCAAAATCTTCCATAGATATACAATAAAGCTTTTATGTTTATGAGATTATTTTATTAGCTTTCTATACATACAGGAAGAGCCTTCCTAGGTTTCCTAGATATTGAAAATCATCAACAAGTTTTATTGAATAAAAACCCTATCTAACCCTATTCTACGGAAATACCTCAACAGGTCTCCCATACATAAAATAAAGTCTACCAGTCTCATATAAATAGGATATCCTCTATTAAATCTTCCATGTGATCTTCTAGAGATCAGAAGGGCCTCTACAGGTCACATTCATCTTACCTATCTTATATATAAACAACGACGGTCTTCTATAAATCGATGAGATTCTATAAGTCCCCTATATACAGGATACCCGCTTTATGTTTTCTTTACGTAGAATAACACCTTCTACACATATGTCGAACTCTTTACAAGTATTCTATAGATAACGATGCCTCTATATGTCTCCTATGTATAGAAGACCCATGGTTCCTCAATGTCTTCTATAGATAGAAAATATAGGAGACCCTCTACAGGTTTTTTTTATAGTTTCGGACCCTCCACAATTCTAACAGTTCTCCTAATGAGGGTAGAACTTCTACAGGTTTCCATAATATCGAGAACCATTTTTTCTCTCCTCTTGGGAGTATTAGTTTATTTATCAATGAAGGTTGGTCTGCTGTAACCTGTCCCAGATGATAGGGTTGCCATCTATAGTTGTCTAGAAACGATTCTTACTTGAATTTGGTGCAGTGGTTGGAGTCCTTTCTTATTTACTGTTATCACTTTCACCAGGTGACGCATTAGTTTCTTTATCAATGATGGTTGGTCTGCTGTAACCTATCCCAGCTGATAGGACTGTCATCTATCATTGTCTAGAAACGATGCCTACCTGAATTTGAAGCAGTGGTTGAAGTCCTTTCTTATTTACTGTTACCACTTTCAACCAGGTGGCGCTGTCTCCTGTAATTTTGTGTTATCCTGAAGAGTTGATGCGGATAGAGGACTCTCTATGGTCAATTTATTAACATACCATCATCAATATTACTATAGTTAAGAATCATTTCATGGCATTTCGAAAAACCGAAAACAAACAATTCTATAAATGACAGACTTGACCTTAAATTTTTGTAATTTTTTTTTATGGATATCATGGCACTTTTCTAGAGGGCAGAACTTTTATAGGCCTATTATATGTAAAATATGTAGTACATTAACTTTTATAAATTATATGGTTTTTAAAGATCTTTTGTTATATAGAAGACCTACTTTAAGACGTGAATAAATTTTAGATCTTCCATATATTACAAATCCCCTATAAGGTCATAACAACTTAGAAAAGAATTTATATTTCTTCTTATCTAAGAATTTAGACAATTCCACTACAGTGAAATATGATTATTATAAAATATTTATATACAAAAACCTTATAAAACTATATACATACATATATAAAAAAACAGACACAATTCAGACAACACTGTGAAAGCGAACTTCATGTAAGTACATTTTTCATATTGGAAACATAAGCACAATATCTCTCAACACAATCCCCGACTTTATGTTCCACACTTATGTACTACTAAACAATTTTGCTATAATGGACTATATATATTATTTTTTATTATTATTTTTATCTCTTTTATGCTGTGCTTTTATAGCTGCTAAATGCACGCCATCGCTTGTCAATGAAATGCACGATTGTCGTGCGGCAACAGGTGAAAAGGCTAAGTTCAAAGTACAATTTGCAGGAAATCCAAAACCAGGTATTGTTTTGTTTTTATTTCGTATTTAAATGGACGTATCAGACAGACCCACTTCACGCACCGTACAGTGTAGGCAGCAGAAAAAACTAAATTTCCATAATTTTCTTTTTTGGAAAACCAAAAAAAAAAAACATTTTATTTTAGATATTCAATGGTATTTCGATAACAAACAACTTAGGGAATCGGACAAATATCATATGATCGTAGAAGAGACCGAGGCCTATTTGGAAATTCTAAATGTCACCTATGAAGATATTGGCTTCTATACATGCAAGCTAATCAATGAGATTGGCATGACCATGACCAGGGCTAAATTTGATATATCCACAACATCGACAGTGGTGGAGGAGAAAGTCACCACCGTCAAGGGCAAGGGTAAAGGCAAAAAGAAAGTGGTGAAAAAATTGGCACCAGTGGTGGTTGTGGCCCAGCCTTATTGTTCGACAAGTGAAAGTGAAACGGAAACGGCTACTACAACTCAGACAACAACAACAACTCAGGTGGTAACAACCATCGAAGAACCCCAGACTGAAGTCGAAACAACAATGGAAGTGATTAAGGTGCGAAAACCTGTTTCCATTTTGGTAGAACAAAGTGGTAAATCCGAGGTAATGGAGGTCAAAGATCGAGCCGTAGCTGATGCTGAAATGACAACCACCACAGTTGTGGAGGAGGGAGAGACTGTTACCACCACCATGACCTCCTCATCGAAAACAACAACATCAACATCTATAGAAATAAGTGAAACCATCAAATCCATACGTTCTAAAATCTCCTCCAAAACCATTACCATGCACGATGTCATGGAAATTAAGCAATATCACGAAGTCAATACGCTACTGGAAACAATTAATGCCAGCTCGTTTGGTAGCATTGGAGAATCTGCACTACGGGACTTGGCCACTATCGGTCTACTTGTACGCCATGGCTGTACAATTATAGAGATTATCTATTTGTATGAACAGAATATTTTCATTGCCTTGCAAAAACCCGAAGCCCAATCGGCGTTGGTGCAGCTGGTCGAACGCGAGGGTCACGAAGAGCTAATATCGGAAATCTTGAGTGAATCGTCGAGCGAAGAGGAAACCATATTGGCGGCCACAGTAGGTTTTAAGGCCTTTATACGTATGATTCAGACGTGTGAGATAACCATTGAGACAGTTATAAGGAAATTTGTACGGGAAGATTTCATCAGTCAGGACTGGAAGATAGCCACGAAAGAGGTTTGGCGTTTAATGTTTTGTGTTGAGCGTTGTTTTTTTTTGATTTGATTTATTGAATTTAAAGTTTTTGGTTTCTGTTTTTATGTTCTATTTTGTGAATAG